CTCTCTCTCTCTCTCTCTCTCTCTCTCTCTCTCTCTCTCTCTCTCTCTCTCTCTCTCTCTCTCACACACACACACACACACACACACACGCACGCACATACGCGCAGGTGCACGCAACGGCAAACAAAATACAGACGCGCACACATACACGCTTCCTAGTAAGGCACTGTTGGAAATGATATCGTAGCTGATAACGCAACCTCGTCGCATCCCCGCCCCTCGCGTGACTACAAGATGCTGCGGGCCGCCCCTCGCGTGTCTGCAAGTCGCCGGGGGCTCTGAAAGTGCTTACTGTAATAAGGAATGGAGGCAACGACAGTCAAACAAGCTCGTAGGCGGATCAGAATACAAACCCGTCTGGAATATTGCAAGCACGAGCTAGTCGATTTGATACGCCGTGAAATTCCTGAATAAGCGATCGAAGAACTCTAGACAGGGAAGCAGAAACAACACGTGGCTGTGAAATGCAATCATTCTTGTTCGTGTTCAAACAAGCATGTTGTCGGTCGTTAAGTTCTTTTTTTCTTTCTTTCAGGAGGACGCCGGCACGCGCACATGCAACGAAACACCCACACACACAAACACAGGCCAACACACCTCATGATGAGTTGGTGAAAGTCCAATCAAACAGACTGTCACAGCTACCCTTCTTTTGCGGAGGTGTGCTTCACAATCGCACACACACACACACACACACACACACACACACACACACACAGGGATAGATCGGAGACCGGGAAACCTACTCACGGGTCGCTGAAAGTCCGACGAAACAGTCTGGAACAGTCATACTTTTCCTTTGCGGAGTTATGTGTACAGAACATAACAACACACACACACACACACACACACACAGATCAGAGAAGGGGGGGCGCGAAGGGGTCGATGGGCTGCAGAACGACTGCATGCATGAGTGGAAAAGAGGGKGGGGGGGGKGGGGGAGGGTGACTTGGCAGTCATTCACGTAATCAGAAGAGACATCTCCATGTTAGACTCCCAAAATTTTGGCGCTTCGCGCTGTCAATGAAAGAGACACCGAACATATGACAACGAATAGGTGGGCCATCTGCACGTGGTTATCCTCCCTACCTGTACGGCGGTGTGATCCTCGGTTAGTGACGACGCGATGACGCCAACGAGTACTGACCACTTGCCCGACGTCCGCAACAGCGCCACTTCACTCCCAAGCGCAACGACTAAACTTCTACTGTTTCTATCTACTGTTCGGCAAGGTCCCTTCCGCCTTATCTATCTTCTTGTTTCCCCGCATCGCATCCCGCTTCGTCGTTCTCCCTGCGTCGTTGCCTTGGCGCCTTCACTGTTGCCGCGCTCGCAAATTCTCTTCTGAAATGGTACCCGCCGCAGCTAACCCCGCTCAGCTTCAGGAGGGATCCGGAGGCATTCAAATTCGCTTCGCCGCTCTCCCTGCCCCTTTGCCTTCCCCGGAAATGGGGCCTCGCGCCACTACTCACCAGATGCACAAACGACAAACAAAAACAAAATGGCGGTGTATCTTTCCATGTTCTAGAAGAAAGTGCATGCACATTTTGCAATAGTGGAGCGAGGGCCATGATACCTGCCGCGGTAGCTACGCCGCGGTAGCTACGCCGCGGTAGCTACGCCGCGGTAGCTACTACCGCCCCCGACAGTGGGGATCCGACGCCATTCAAATTCCTCTGAAATGTTACCCGCCGCGCCGTCTTCCACCGAACATGACGCGCCCTGATAATGAACGTATACAAGCGAACTTTCCAGTCCGATACAGTCAAAATGATGGTGCGTTGTGTTCGGGGGAAGACGGTAAGGGTAGCCCCGCTCGCCTGCAGGACGGATCCACAGCGCAATTCCAACTTCCCCGTTCACAGCTCACTGGCCGTGGGTTATTCGCGGTTTTATTCTTATTTTATTCTTTTATTATTATTATTATTATTATTATTATTATTATTATTATTATTATTATTATTATTATTATAATTATTTGTCGCGGTTTTATTTCCTCTCAATACCATACCATTGTTTGTTTATCAGAGGAAACCCAAAAGGCGACCGTTGTCAGATTAGACACAAGATTGACCTCAAGGCCATCGCCCTTTAAAAAAAAACAAAAAAAACCAACAAAAAAAAAAAAATGGGCACGTCCTTACCGTTCATTTCCTCGGTCTCGGGAATCTATCGACGGTGAGGAATGAAAAAGTGGGAGTAAGTGGCACTTGAGTCCCTGTGATGACACAAGTGCAAATCAGCTGGGAGTCGAACAGTGCAATCTCTTCTTGACAAGCGTGCGATGTCATTTGGATTAGGATTTGTCGTTTCGACTTCGATCTCCATTTCTTTTTTTCTTTTTTTTTTGCCAAAGCTGCCATCTCCTCATAGCGGGACAGGCATATGGTTTGGTTTTCTCTCACCTGCCGTTCTGCCATGTCACGGAACATATCTTTCTTTTCAGAACCTGCCACTACTCCTAAGGCTATACAGGGGACCCTGGATGTCTATGGGCCTCGTTAGACCCTCCTTGGAAAATCCTCAGGAATTAGGATGAAGTCTTTGGAAAAATTTTCAGCTTTTGGCATCGGTCCTAATTCTATGGGTCCCAACCCGGCAGCCAATTTCATACGCATACACGCAGCCGCGGGGGTGGATGTTCGTCATCGTGCTAGAAAGTCAGTGCGTCCTCAGGCGTGGTCCAGTGGCGGCGGCAGGGAGGCCTACTGGGCTGAAGAAAACAGGGCGCCAACATCCCGGTTCGAATTTCGAATTTTGAACCCTCCGTTGTGATGCATCCGCGTCTGAGCCGTCCTGACGGCTGGACTGGAGACTTCAACCAACCGTCTGTGCGGAGGAGTGATGGCGGGCATTGGAATGTTGGGCGACGTAGCGTGTATGCGTAACGGTTCTCGACATCCCCTTCGTGTTCCGCATGCTCTTCGAGCCGTCACAGCTGAGCGCGAACGTAACGCTTCCGGGAAACCTGGAGAGTGCGAGCGCAGTCCTCATCGATGTGCAGAAGGTGCAACGAGGGCGCCGGCAGGCGAACGAGTGTTGGGCGCTTGCGCAGTGCAAGTCCTAATGATGGACGGAAAGCTCCCGGGTGGTGCGAAAGCATTAACGACATTGAAGAGAAACACGGTGGTTGCAGCTGTGTCAGTCGTCACCATGCATTATCGCATCGAGAGAATGACAGCTTGCCTGAGGACGACATTGTCTGTTCGCAAGCAGAGGCAGCTGATGCAACAAGTGATGGATGCACCCGAATCATATGTCGTTATCGGAATCCATTGTGCAATTATGTTGCGCGATGGCATCGGGTGTGATCCTGCGGGCGACACCGCGATGGTGGATGAGAAGAAGGACAGGAGGAATATGGGAGGATCTCCAACAGGTTGACGATGCGGCGAAGGGCTACTACAAGGAGAAGTTGCGGAGTGGAGTAGTCAAAGCCGCGCGTTGGGTGTCTGCTGGAGGTTTACCTCCTATCCATCGTCGTCTTTCTCACCATTCGTCATTTTTGTCTGCTGCCAGGACCTCGCACAACGACGCACACGTGGAACAACACGACAAGGAGCAGGAGAAGAATGGCCAGCAGCAGGAGCGGGAACCACCGGAGGATGTCTGCCATGGATCGCAGCACGCGAGGTGTTTACCAAACAAAGCTTACATCAATGCGCCCGAAAATAGCCAACAAAACACGCTAGGCAAATGACTGCAATCGTGCGCCAGTGCTTCAACATCGCCTATAGAAAAATTGAAAACTTCGACCATTGGACACCACGGTCGGCGACGAGCACACGGAAAACCCCGCTTCGTGAAGTGTCTCACAGCTTAATAACCACCTCCACGCATTTTCGTGCCAACGGTAACGGTGGACGGCCGTTGGGGAGGCGTCGGGTACTTGAGGCCGGCGATGTCCGCCCAATGGACCACGGATGACCCGTGCACCAACATCGATTCCAAATTCTCCTGTAGGCACTCACTCCATAACACTCTGTCAATCGCGGCTCCTTTAACCCAAGGGACCTCGCGAGGACCCCTCATATCCAAGGACATTTGGGCTGGGGATTCCGAGAAACCCAAGGAAATCTATCGGGAGCGTTTTCACATTCATTCAAGGAATTTTGTGAATTAGGACGCGGTCCAATTTTCAAAAAATCGGATCCCCAAGGAGGGTCTAACGATGCCCTATAACCCTCGCTCCACCACTTACCAAATGTGCAAATGAGAAGGAATATTCCCCTACAACATGGAAAGATGCACCATTGTAATCTTTGTTTGTTCTGCATGTGGTGAGTGGTGGAGCAAGGTCTCATTCCCATTTTAAACACAACATGGATATTCTTGCACATTGGAATGATGTTCCAAGAGGGCCCACCCCATTAGCAAATAGGATTGGATTAACCACCAGTATGTTTCCCAACCATTTTTTCAAAGACGTGCATGTTGCTGCTTTGGGGTGGTAGTACTGGCGCGACGTTTCACTGGACATCCATCCAGGCAAAACGGGCCTTGCATGCCACCCATTTTGCCCGGTTAGGGCACCTAGGTACTTCCTGCCCGACTCTCTGAAAGAATGGGGGTGTTGTTTTGTTGGATATCCATCGACGCAAAACGTGCCTCACATGTGACACATACGACACGTTTTGCCTGGATGGATATCCAACAAAACGACACACCAGTCCTTCATGAGATCCGCAGCAACACACACTTCGATATTGAGCACATCGGCTCCACTCTTTTTATAAGGAGTCTCCCCAACCGTGTCAAGCAAATATTTTAAACCACTAGTACCTCTGAGCCTATTTTTGTGGAGCCTGAATTTTATTGAGCTCCGAGTTTTGTCAAGCCAAGGTCCCACTCCATTTTCTTTATGGTACTCCCACGGAAAAAATAAAATAAAAAAAATGGCGTGAAACTTCCAAAACAAAAAAACTGCAGCAAGGAAACAAAGATCTTGTCATGATTGTAGTTGTATGCATTATTGGTAGTGTGAGAGTGCCCTATGTATCCCCAGCGGCAGCAGTCATGGCGGTTGTGACCGCGGCCCGCGGTCGGGGCCGCAAGGCCGAGGTCATGATCGCAGCGGTCGCGGTCGGGGATGGCCCGTTGTGGCCAACGGGGAAGGGGTGCCTGAGGTCGGGATCGGGATTCCGGGGCAGGACCCAGACTCCACTCCCTCATAATGAAAAAAAAAATAAAAAACTTAAGAAATGGGAGGGTCAAAATAGGGGGGGGGTGGATGGGGGAGAAAAAAAATAATCGACCCCCCGTGTTTTTTTTTTAACTTTTCATTTATTCTCTTTGTTGAAAAGGCCGCTGTTTTATTTTTTTACTTTATATTTTTTTTAATTGATTGATTGATTGATTGATTGATTGATTGGTTGGTTGGTTGGTTGGTTGCTTGGTTGCTTGGTTGGTTGCTTGGTTGATTGATTGATTGATTGATTGATTGGTTGATTGATTGATTGATTGAGTGAGTGAGTGAGTGAGTGAGTGATTGACTAATTGGTTGATTGATTGGTCGATTGATTGTGGGGGAGAGGTCACGCCCCGAGATGTTATTCTTTTCTTGTTGAGTGTTGTTTGCCTGCCCACTTGAGTGTTGTTTTGTGTAAAGGTCGGTAATATCATGTTTTGTGTGTTGTTTTCATAATCTGAACACCTGTGGATGTTGGATGTGGAATGGTGGTGAAACCTTAGTATGGTCTTTATCCTTAGACCATCATCTTGCGTTGCATAAACCCCAAGGATACAGTGTGACTCCTTCCATGGTGTTGTTTTGCAACGCAATTCATGACGCAACATGTTGTGATACGGTCAAAGAGGCCACACAATAAAAACGTAACACACACACACACACACACACACGTGCGTGAGCGCGCGCACGAGGGTCGAACCTGCTGTTTTTTTTTTTTACTTTTTCTTTTTTTTATTGATTGATTGATTAATTGATTGATTGGTGGGGAAGGGGTCGCCCTTTCCCCCCACATATGCACACACACACACACATACACACACACATAAAAAATATATAAATATATTTTATTTTATTACGTTTTTTTCTAGGCTACCAGAGTGGCCCGGGGTCACTTGCCCAGCCGGGCCAAAGATTTAAAATAAAATAAAATAAAATAAAATTTTAATTTTTATTCTAAATTTGGTGAAGAATTTCGATGTGACCCTGAGGCAGAAGTTGTTCAGTTAAGTTTTCTGCATAACATAATTGTTTTTCGGATTTTTTGGATTCTTTTTTTTTTGGGGGGGGGGCCTTCCTTGGTCCTTGCACGGGCTAGCCACTCGGAACCCAGGCGGCCCGGCTGGTAGCCTTGGTTTCTTTTGATTAAAATACTTGTTTTTTGGCTTTCTATTTAAAGAAAAACGAAAAGACACTTCATAATCCAAAACAAAAATATAGGGTTGTACTACTAGGTATTTTAGAACCTTACAACCCCATATATATATATGTATTTTTTTTTTTTTCCATCAATTGTTTTTTTTTTAAATATACAAAATTATCGGTCGCGCCCAACCGCAGGGGCCATGGCATGCGGTCGAGATCCCAACCGGAATCCGAGTTTAGGATCATAGAGTGTACCCTGAGTGAGGGCAGCTCACCCGCTTGCCCAGATTGTCATATTGACATATTTCATAAACACAAAACAAGAAGGAAAAAAAAACGGAAATACAAATTCGACCGTG